TTATATTATATTATATTATATTTATAGATGCGTGTGTCTATATACACATGTATGTATATCTACATATCCTGTATATACACACACATGCATGCATGCATGCATACATACACACATACATACATGATATGCATGCACGCGTGCTACCCAACAGAGAAACGGGGTGCACGGCCGAAGGGGTAGGACGTGTGGTACGATGAGTGTCATTAGGATCAACTGTACGGGATGTCGCGAAGCCACTGCACCCGCCCCGTTGTGTGGCTGCGTCTGGCATGCGCTTAGGATCTGTGGCGTCAGCGGTGCAGATGCTACTAGGGCCGAGCCCTCGCAGGAGTGCAAGCAATCTATATAGAGGTCAATTTGAAATCAGAGTGCGGACAGCATATAATGCAATACTTGTAGATTCGGCTGTACTCTGCAAACACGTCTCGAGTCGAAGGGCCGAAGGCTTAGAGGCGCAAGCGACGGTCGACCTGTTTTGCAGGGCAATCATCTGACAGAATGGTGGAAGTTTGTGAGAGCTCCTTTACAGTGCTCAGCTCAGGTCGAGGATCTTTTGGTGGTACGCTGCCAGGCCTGCGGCCACGTCGGGCACTCAGCAAGCAAACCTCAAGAGTTGTGGGCGTAAGCTTCTGTCCCTTTACAGCTGCTGGGAAGACTTTGGGGGCGAGGCTTGGAGCTTGCTGAAGCTAATGCTCGACATTGGAGTTATGCCCGGCTTGTGTACATAGATTCACGCTGCTGAGGCTTGGGTTCATTTTTTTGGTGAGACCAGAGCTCTTGAGCGCATGACGTTCCTGCTGCAAACTTTTATCTACGTACATCCAACTGGAAGCATGCAGGACTGGCAGACTATTGACTATTCCTGCTCGTTGGTCTCGCTGTGCTTTGTGAAGTTGACTGGTTGCGCAGTACATGTCGTTCCGCTCCAGCTAATTATAACTTTATCTCAACATCCGTCTTGCTAGTGCCCCCGAGACGGCCGCCCGAGGTCTACCCAGCCGATGTAGTCGGCAGCAACGTTCAGGGGGCCAAGCGCGCACGGAAGGCCATAGCAACTAGTAGGCCTCGAGATTTGACAATTTGGAGTTGGGGACAAGTTGGGGGTTGCTCATGAGTGCTGAAGTATGTTCAAGGTAATTCGTCGGGTTCGCTGCTTGCACGACTTGCCGGAATCCCCGCAGGCCCTACACCCTAAACCCTGGGCCCTCTCATGATGTACATTGCTCTCGAGTTGCGATCCAGCCTGTCAGCCACAAAGCACAGAGGCCAAGCTTTAATTTTTCGGATCTCTATTGGAGTTCATAGTGATCCCTCGGAAGTTATTCCACGGGTTTCGTATGACGAGGGTTTTTTTAGCCCAGCTAGAGCTAGGAGATTTCCTATGCACAGGTATCGAAAAGGTCCGAGCGTCCGCAGGTGATGCTACAAAACTTCTTGATACGAAGCAACGCTTTCCTTGTTGTTCTTGCGCCTTGCTTGACACAACTCGAAGTCGCTGTCTCGCAGGTGCTCAACTGTGGGCATTGGATCTTCAGGCACCGGCCTAGCTGCGAAGAGAGCCCACCGAAATGTTCTACACGTCAGTTCCCGAGCTCGAATGCAGGAGAGTTACATACATACATACATACATACATACATACATACATATACAACTGTGACCACCAACACATCCGTCGAAACAGCAAGCATGCTGCGCTCCTGTTGGCCTCAGGAACCGAACTTATCATGCAAGCATGTAGTCCTCGTGTCAATTACAACCGCAACAACGACCACAACCACAGCCATAGCGGCAACCACAACAACAACATAGCTTAGCCCCACACAGTTGCAGGCGATACTTCTGACGGTTGCGTGCCTTTTTTGCAGGCTTTAGATCCCCAAGTCTCCAATGATGTGGTGTACCTTCTGCCCCCTCCCTGCCCTCACAAACCGAAGATCTCCCGACTAGAGCCGTGCCAAGCGAAGAAGCCCAAGGAGATGGCAGGTCATTACTTTGCCTAAATCTGACATCTAAGATGCGGCATCCTTGGGTTTTAGAAGGCCTAAGAAGGCCCTGATGCTCGCAACACTTTGTGCAGCGCCGGCGTTTTTCAATCAACAGGATCGAGTTTCGCTTCAAGCTGGCCCTTCAGGAGGAGCCGCTTTGTGCTGTTGTCTGTGAATCGGCTTGAACGCGCCATCCCTGGATCGCCTTTCTTTGATTTCGGGTCGATTGCGATTCTGAGAGTTGGGACTTGGCGAGGTTATGGCCTCGAAGGTTCATGTGAACACCTCCTGACAACGTGAGGACGACAGCCCGTTCTTCGAGGTCTTCGTGGCCGGCGAGGCTGTCTTACCCAGGAAAGCTTAAAAATATGTATGGCCTGCAGGACGAAGCCCATTCATAGAAGGGGTTTCAGAAAGTAGGAACTTTGAGAGCAGGACCTCAAGCATGGAGTTGAAAAAAGGCCCCCTGATAAGATGCCAGCCCAAGCTCGCTCGAAGCTCTACCCAACTCTTGGGGCCCACCTTTCGGGCTGAACCCGTAGTTTAGGGGGTTTTGGCCTTCTGGGAGGCCACAGATCTTTTTCGCGCGCGCGCCGAAGAAGGTGGGTACACGTGCGGGGGGGTTCACTCGAGACCCGACTCATTGAATCTTTTGTTTAGGTCCTTTGAAGCGGAAGCCTGTAATGCAAGATGTTCGGTGTGCGATGCTCAAGAAGATCTCCTCAGGTGAGCGACATACGTCCTTCTGTGTATCTCTCCAACGTTTGGGAAAAGGCTAAGCAACGGTTGCCTTGCTACTGTTTACTTGCTGCCCACACCACCCTGCGCAGTGCTGTCGGATCCCGATGCTCGTGTGGAGCCGCAGAAGCTCCTGGATGCACTGCGCCAGGCCACTTGCAGGGTGTTTGGAGGGCTTTCGTCGATAGCTAGGAGACAAACTTCTTTCCAGGAGCTTTCCATAGAGATGCAGATGTACCCAGTTGGTGGACGGCATTGGTGGCGTTGCAGTCAGGAAGGGACAGGGTGGCCGAAGGCCGCGCGTTCAGCCGCTCGCAGATTTCCTCCCAGTCTGCTCGTCGTCCAAGCGCGGTTGGTGCCCAGCGCCAGGTGCTTCGAAGACGTTAAACCTTCATCAAAAACACTTGTTCCCGCCCTTAGGCCAGCGGGGACTGCCACTCCGAACCACCCTCGGCGCGACCCTGTGACAGGACTTCCGGAAGTCACAAGCAGATGCTGGCATCGATCTCAGTCGCTCCATGACGGAGCTGCCTGAAAAAGCTATCTGGTGATCTCTGCTCGCAATCCGGCTCTTCAGTCCTTTAGACTATAAAGCAATCCGCAAAGCACATTGCCGAAGTAGCTATGGCCATAGCCCCAGATTCTTCCATCGGTAGCGCCAGCAAAGCCTCCGCCAGTCCAGCGGCGCCCTGAGGCCATTCCTTGGCCGTTTACAGACACGCTGAAGCCTCAGCCTTCCCAAGCAAACGCCGATGCTTGCATGTGGCTTGTGGCCGAGTCTACTCCTACCCCGTGCTCCCAGGAACCCCGACTCCCGGTCCTGAAGCCCACCTAGGATGGACCTTCGACTGCAGTTTCTGGGGTGCCGCTTGGCTTGCCGAGAGAATCCGCGAGGTCACAAATGTGCGGAGGCGAGGGATTGAGGCGTGTTAGGGGCGAGGTACTGCTTTATCTGTTCTAGGAGCCAGAGCTGTTGAAGGTGCACAAAGAGTCTCGCGGATCTTGTCGAAGTCATGTCGGTGGAGGTATCTACTAGATCAGGGGAGGCTTTTGCCGGCGTCTTGAACTTCGCCACAAGAAGCGACAGGTATCGCAAAATCTGAGCCCAGGCAGTCACGCAGGGCTAAGCGGCGGCTAGCAGAAGGGATGGGCCACTGCCAGGCTCAGTTGGAGCCTCCCCACGCGGCTTTGCCCAAGGTATGCAGTCTGCGACACCACCCTGACACTGACCTGAGAGCACGACCAGCACCCAAAAGAGGCCAGCCCAGGGCCAGAGCAGCAGCGAGCCGCTCCAGTAGAAAGGGTCCTTTCAGGGCTGCTGGGCCATGCTGGGTGACGAAAAAGACCAGAAAGTGGTTGTTTGCCCAGAGTTAGTCTTTTACCGGTCATTCGGTGGAAAAAGGAAACATGTTGCTGCTTCACGGGGTTGGTTCAGGGACTGGCTTTTGGGGGGTGCAACGAAGTGAGGGATGCTGTAACTTCACGCAGAAGCACAGTCCCAGTGATGTCCATGGCAAGCAGCTGGCCTCAAAAATGTCAATCACACTGCCCAGCAGTGTCTGTAGTGTCGCAAATCGCCATTATCGCGTGCCGAGTGAGCTTGAAAGGCCAGCTTAGAAGATCGTGTTCTCATAATTGTCCACGTCTAGTTTGTTTTTTGCTCAGCATCTTTAGCTTGAACTTGTCATGATCTGAATTGGCCCAACCGAAATCGCACCAGCGGCAACGCGTGTTACTTTGTGAATAATTCAGAGCTTGCTGCTGCAGACTCGTGCAAGGGAGGCATGGATGTGGCCTAGTGGCTTCCGGGAGTGGGAAAGCGCAGCCCTCACAGAGTTATTTCACATATGTTGTTGTGTGGTTATGTTTTGGTGCAGGCTCGGGGATAAAGTGGAAGGCCGTAAGATTGACCGACGACGACCCCAACCCTCGAGAAACACGTCTTGCTTCAACACTCTGACAGTCATCTTGTGAGCTTGCAGCAGCTGGGGGAGGGGAGCACTTCAGAGATTCCAGAGACCCGCGCTGATCCTTCGATTCTCCGGGGTGAACATTACGCGTTTCGGACTCCGGCTTCGAATTCTTTGGTATAATGGCCCAATAATGCAGGAACTTAGTCACCATTAGTCATCCCTTCGGGATCATCTTTGGATCTGTCGGCGAGGTGCGGAGCTCTGCAAAGGCCAAGTAGGATCATTCACTGACTTCTTGGCTGCTTGGAGAGGCGAAAATGAAAATGACAGTGGTCGTGCTGGTTTAACTATTGTTTCTGTTGTTGATAGACATTTGCAGCCCTGTCGTGGTGGTGTTGGTGTTGGTGGTGGTGGTCGGTCTAGGGAACCCGTGTTGTTTTTTCGGTAGTCGCTTTATGTTGTTTTTGTTGCGCGGACCCAGGAAGCCAGTGAGTGAGTGAACCCCGATTCCCGCAACGACAGCAAAAAAAAAGAAAACGCGCCACCCCTGAAACGACAGCAAAAAATGCGCCGCCAAGGACGACAGCAAAACAAAACGTGCCCCCCGGGGACGACAGCAAAAACAAAATCGCGCCCCCGCAACGACAGCAACGACAGCAAAAAGACGCGCCCCCGGGGACGACAGCAAAAAAAGCAATGCCTGTCCGGGGATGACAGAAAAAAAACGAGCCCCTGGACAACAGCTGCAAAGCGACGTAATATTCAGAATCGTAATAATAGTAAAAATAATAAAAGTATTGACAGTAATAATAGTAATAAGAATAAATTCAGAATAAGTATATTGATAGCAATATATGTACACAAATAACAGTAATAATAGTAACAGTAGTAATAATACTAGTAGTATCGTAATAATAGTCAGTAATCTTCGTACGCGTAATAAGAGCAAGAATAATGTAATAATGATAGTAACACAAACAATAGTCACATGTAGTAGTAATAGCTACATTAGTAGTAAATGTAAGACTATTATTGTGACTAGTAATAACAGTAAGAATAATAGTAATCGTAGCAATAGTAATAATAGTCAAAATAATAATCGTAGTAATGCTAGTAATGATATTAACCTTGAATCGAAAACCTTGTGCCTAGGCCCCTAAAATGTAAAAAAATCCTCATAGCAACCCGTGTAGAATCCTGATAGGTCACACACACTTTAACCCTCAACCCCGTAAGTTCTAAACCCTGCAAACCTACACCCCTCCTCCTTACAATCCTTCCGCCCAACCCTCAACCCTGCTCTTGTTTACCATGTAAATGAAAGATCATAACCTATCATTCTGCTGGGTTTGGGGGCGACAGGTAGACCTTACACCCCTTTACCCTAGACCTGGAAACCCGCGCCCTACAACCCTGCACCCTGGACCCCTGGAGCACTATGAACCCTAAACCATAAATACGAACAATACCAATAATTAGAAAATAGACGTTGTCCTATGAAAATATGGGAAATTACGGGTTTTCCTATCCACCACCACCAACGGGGCGAACAGACGAACCTAAAAAATCTCCGCCCCGCAACGACAGCAATAAAAAACGCGCCGGGAAGCGCAACGACAGCAAAAAACAACTCGACGGGGACCGCAACGACAGCAAAATAAAGAGAAAAAACTCGTGCAGGGGACCGCCACGACAGCGAAAAACGAACGCTCCGGCGACCGCAACAACAGCAACAAAAAGTAAAAACGTGCCGGTCAGCGCAACGACAGCAACAAAAACCCGCGGCGACAGGAAAAAAACGCGACCCCGCAACGACAGCAAAAAAAACGCAGGCCCACACAGGCAAAAAAGCAAAGGTGCCCCTGCAACAACAGCAACAAACAACGCGCCCCCGCAGCGACAGCAAAAAAACGCGCCCCCCGCAACGACAGCAAAAATAAACATTCCCCCGCAACGACAGCAACAAAGCAACGACAGCAACACTTTTACCGCCGGTCTAGGCAGTAGGTATTGTGGTGGTGGTTTGTCTCTGGTGCGGCACACTCCTCGGCTGCATCTGAGTCGAGCAATCCTCGAAGCTTGCGCCCTGGCCCGAGTGAAAGCCGTTGTCGCAGCTGTTCGGCTCCAGTCTACCGCGCTGTTCGCCTGGGGGACTGAGGAACAGCACACTTTTAAGGCTCGGCCGTGGGAAGACTGGGGTGCGCAACTTGCATCTGCTGCCCCGTGACGCCGGATTTGTAATTCGATGCCAAATTGAGGCGAGCTTCTGGCGAGCCTGCATGTTGAAGTCTGAAGTTTGAAGGCATGTGATTGATCTCTCACTTCTGCGATTCGCCAGCTTCCGGTATCTTTCCCCATGTGTTTCAGGAGCACCTGAGACCCAGAGGCCCTGGCTTTGGGCTTTGGGCTTTGGGCTCCTCCCCGGCTTCCTTTTGCTTCCAGGCTGCCTCCCAGCCCCGGACATAAACATCTTCTCTCAAGTTGCATTCCCTCCTGCTTTGAGGATGTGGTGGCGCCTACCTCAGACAAGAAGGCTTCAGCAGGTGCAGTTTTTCCAAGCAAAATGAGGGCAGCGCACATCTGTAATTTTGGAAGCTTTTCGATCCAAGACATGCCTTGCAGTGTTCTGTGTTGTATGTGCATATTCGGCTGGCGCATCGCAGTCGGCTTCTCTTCGCAAAGGTATGGGCCTTCGCCATACCATGGCTACGGCCACGCACGAAGCCCAGTGCTTTGTGGGGCGTCGCGTTGACTCGGCATTGGAAGCATCGAGCTGTGCCTTGGACACTCGGCGGCTTGCCTTTCAGGATTGGTGGGGTCCGCCTCGATACTATCGAGACCGATACGACCGCGATCGGAAATGGGACCGGGAGCAGGACAAGGATAAAGAGGCATGTGGGACTAGTCGGCGTGGTCCACAGGGAGCTTGCTAAAGCCACGGTTCCTTCAACTCGGTAGTCTTTGCAGCCGTAGCCTTAGACTCATTTCGTGAGAAGCCTGCATCCCCTAAGAAACACCTCGCGGAGTGTTTAAAGCCTTTGCTTCGGGAGTCCCTGAACAGGGCAAGCCGGCCGACCGGCCCCGGAGTGAGGATGGGGAGAAGGGCAAGGACGGGAACTCGCTTCCTCGCGTGGGCGATTGGAACAGACAGGGACGCAAGGGAGGGCTTGACATTCATCGGAAAAAGTGAGGCATGGCTGGCTTCCCAACCAACGTGACTCCTAATTAGATTTTCCTGGACCCTTTGGCTGTATTTAAAGTCGCCCCGAAGTCTGATCTCCGCTTGGTTGGAACACCTGAAGCCGCACGGGAGCCACAAGAGCCAGGGTTTCGGGTTTAGGGTTCCTTGGCATGTCTCACAGGACTGCCTCCCATGAGCACTTGTTGTGCATGCAAGGCTGTTCAAGATAAACACCCCAAACTGGAGCTAGCTGCTCAAGCCAAGGCTCTTCTATATCTGCCTACCGCTGAATATGACACGGATGATTCTGCCTGCGAGGAGGCGAACTCAGGTCCTGCGCTCGAGCTGGCAAGGACGCTGTTTCAACGCAGACTTGTTGGCGAGGGCATGTCAAGAGGGCTTTAGAAGAACAAGAGGGCCCTAAAAGTTCTATGCTTCTGCGTCCTTTGTAGGGGTGGAATCCTGCTTGATTGAGAAACCGAACTTGCAAAGTCGGAAAAGTTTGCGTGAAGATGTGCGGCGCCATATTTGAGTGGGCATTTCGCCTGTCTTTTCGCACCAGCCGAAACCGTGAACATCACATTCTGATGCCTCACGCTTCTGGCTGCTGTTTATCTGTTAGATGTGACTTGGTGCTTGTGCTGTGTGGTCTGCAGGAAGCCATATCGGCAGATCATTGACGAGCTCATCAAAAACACTGCGACTTGCTGAAGAGAGCAATCATTCAGATTCGGCTCCGTCGGTTTGAGGCTTAACGCTTGCTTAGGGTTTGGGGTTAAGGAACATCTAGCATCTTGGGCCAGTCTTAGTAAGAGCAGAACAGATGCAGGGGGGAAGCCGAAACCCCAAGGTAAGCAGATCGCCGGTGCATAGCAGGTCCTGTGCCGCAACGACTTTGACCATAAGATCCTTCTCCTGTTGGACGCGCTCTGGGAGCGGAACAGGCTGCAAGATGCCAGGGCCTGAAAAGCAAAGGAGATTCCTGTGCAGACGCCGGGGCGTGTCGGGCTTTGATTGGCTTCGGGCTTTTGGAGTTTGTAGACTTGTGACCAGGTATTCTGATCCACATGCCACATGCATTCCGAATCTCGGCGTAGATGCTAGGCCTTGGTAGGCTTCTGCCGCGCGAGACTGTGTGCCAATATGCTCAAGAAGCTGTCGGCTTGGCGACACAATGATTCCATGTTATGTCGCGGACGCTCGTGTTCACTTAGGCCTGCTCCCATGTCAAGAAAGTGGTGGAGGTCCTTCCGCGAGATAAGGTCACGCACTGGAGAGGCTCTCCTCACCCCGGGAGGGAGGGCCTGCAATAAAAGCATGTTCGCAGATGTTATATTATATGAGTTGCTTACGAAGCATTATAAACGTATGTACAAATAAGTTTTCGACGTGGTAGATAGATGGATAGATAGATCTAGATATAGATATAGACATAGTTAGATATAGATGCAGATGTAGATATAGATGCTCATAGATGTAGATATAGATACACGCACATGTACACACGCACACACGTACACACATGTATATACACATATGTACACATATATATATATGTGTGTGTGTATACATATATGTATCAGTATTGGTGTCTGTATCTGTATCCGTATCTGTATCTGTGTCTCTGTCTGTCTGCCTACCTGCCTGCCTGCCTGCCTGTCTGTCTGTATACCTGTATGTGTGTATGTCTGGTTGTATGCATGTATGTATGTATGTACGTATGTATGTATGTATGTATGTCTGTGTATATCTATGTATATACATGTGTGTATATATAAATACATTTACATATATATCTATATATATGTTTATATACATACGTACGTACGTAAGTGCATGCATACCTACCTACCTACCTACCTACCTACCTACCTACCTACCTACCTACCTACCTGCCCACGTACGCACGTACATATACACATGCACGCTTGCGCATATGTACACACACACAAATAAATAAATAGTTAGTAAATGAATAAATTAAATAAGTAAATAAACAAATAAATAAACAAATACATATAAATATAATTATATATATATGCATATTCACGTAATTACACACACACACATGTATATGCGTATATATATATACACACATAAACACACATGTATATACATATGCCGGTCTACGGGGACATGTACATATACGTATACATATGTGTATGCAGATACATATGTCTGTGTATATATATATACACGCACATATCATGTGTATATACGCATGTGTATATGTATATATATATAAACACACACACACACATATATATGTATATATTATACGTGGGTATACACGTACATATACAAATGCATCAATAGGTTCAATAGGTGTTTGTGTGTGTGTGCGTGTGTTCATCAGTATGTGTAGAGACACATGCATGCATGTTGGAGCACGTACGAAGCTCGCTTTCATGGTTCGAGAGGCTACCTCCACAAGCTGCTGCGAAACTTCGACGAGGATGCGTACCACGACGTCAAGGTGCGATTTGGAAGTTGAAGGTGCTTGGACTTTGGGGTGCTGTGCTGGATCTCACCAGCCCGTGACCATTGCTGCTCTTTAGGGTTTAGGGTATGTCTGTTCCTCTATCCTCAGTCCTTTCATCAAGTGCGCCGAAATCTAAGCAAACTCATCAGCTCGCTGCACTCAGTCAGGAGCTCCCGCTTACTCGGAATAGCACATGTCGCCTTTAGCCAGGGCACGCTGGCAGCTGCAAACGCAGAGAAGCTGCCTTGGATCCAGGCGCAACATTGGAGTCGTCCCACCTTCCCTTGCAGACCCGAAAATCGAAAGCTGGAGATGTTAAATTCGGAAACTCGGGGTTGCTGCTGAGCAGCCGTAGATGCCCCGGACATCACTTGCTTCTACCACCCTGATGTTGATCTCCGCATTGAGGCCTTGCATCGGCGGTGCACCCATCATCAGGGCTTAAGACTCCATAAACCCCAAACTCCCAAACTGTCTGAGACCTAATCCTGCGCGACAAAACTTTCCAAGCGACCATGTCTCCTGAGGAGAAGCCTCCGGCTTCCGGAGACTCTCTCCGCGTGTGTGCAGCCGCCACTTGGGTTGGAAGTGGTACGATGTTGGTTCTTCTCGGTTCCGTGGCTTCACAGATCGATGCAACTCCGGTTCGAATGCCGCCTTGGCCGTCCTTGGAAGCAGGTATCTACGACATGGCTCTCCCTCTGCGTGAACACTTTGACCCTGATATCCACACTTCAGCCCTAAACCGAAATATCGCCGTGCTTGTCCATGAGCAGATCCCACACAGCAGCTTCATGTGCATGTGGGTGCTCACAAAGACCCCCACCTAAGGCCGGAACCTCTAAGGATTCCGAAGTCTGATGACCATGAGCTTCGCGTCTCTAAGTTGTCCCAGAAGCCGAACTGGTTTCATAGAGCTCCAAGCTAAAAGGAAACTTAAAGCGGTGAACCCTCGAAGCTGATTTTTCATACCCAAACTGTCGAGTCCCAACTGGACGTGTTGTGCTAACTCCTGAGTCCCTGATTCTTGAGGAATTCCAGCCGGGACAGCTGGCTTGGACTGGAGCTATTGGGAAGAATGAGTATGTGGCAGTAGCAACACACAGGCCGAGCTCCACGTTGAGTGCACGGCTTGAGGTTAGCAGGTGAGTCCCCCATAGCACCGCTCTTGCGGGCTCTCCCCCCGCTTCCGCTGAGAGCTTCCTGTACGTCTGTTCCTAGCTAATTGTTCAGCTCCTTTCTCGCTGCGTACTACAGTGCTGCCATGTTTGCTATGCATAGCCTACTTCTGGTAGCAGTCGCAGTGGCAATATGAAGCACCGAAGAGTGGTGATGCGACATACATCAAGCCAAGCCCCCAAGCAACAGTTCAGATTGGGTTAAGGGTGCACCGCGGGTTAGAAGGTACATGCCGGGAGATGAGAGTGCTCAAAGCCTGAACCAGACTTGAGGATCCGACCGACGCAACCTGACACATCTGTCCGGCTGCTGCCATGCAGAGCCCATGCTCCAGCAAAGCCAGGCTTTGCGCTGACGCACCAGAGTTCGATCCCAGTCAATCTACTTGGGCGCCACGAGCCGTCGAGAAGGCCGGGAGTGAGACGTTTTCGATGTAAGGGGCATCAGAAACAGCAAGAGCTAAGACATATCCTGTGTAGCAGGCGAGCATGTGCTCTGACATAATATTGCAAGTGGGCTTCAGTGTCCACAAGAACTTCGAGTGCCGCACCCCAGACTTCTCGCCCCCCTCGGCGTGAGCCCAAATGCCGACGCCCTCGAGACACCCAAACCCGCCACAGGCCGAGGGCGCATGAGGGGCATCAAATCTTCTGATTCCGCACCGCAGAGACAGCTGATTGCAAGTCTTGACTGCGCTGACAGCCTTTTAGTCTTATAAAGCTGAGCCCCAAGGCTTGTAACACAGCCTTTAAGTCTGATCATGGAGCCAAGTAAGGCTGAGAAAGGCTATGCCTTTGGGTTTCAACTTGTCTTCTGCCCAACTCCAAAGTCTCTCATTTTCAGACCCCTGGCCGTCACAAGTAGATCGTAGCGGAACCTGGCCGGATTGCGGCGAGTGCTGGCTGGTCAGATGTTCGAGACGGCAATCAAACCTTCGAGAGAGCTACAGGCTCCCTGTTCAGGGATTTTCTTCTCTGTGCCCTTGTGCCGCTGCCGACCATCCACAGCTGAGAACTGCCGTTTCGGCAGATGCTTTCAGGTGAGTCTAGCTCCGAGCTATGCATGTTGCGAAGGAGATTGCGATGTAGCGGGTATTCAGAGCACCACGCAGGCATGATACGGAGACACAGCGAGTGATGAACCTTGCAGCGCGGTGTTCGTCCATGGTGCCTGCAATCCAACCCACACAAAGGCAAGCTTCAGGGCTGAGGACTCAACGGCTTGTTCCTTGGGTGTGTTGGAAGCTTCGGCTTACATAGCAGACTTCAAAAAACCCCTGCTGGGACGGTCGAGCACCTTTCGTTCGTGGACAGCTTTCCTTTTAAAGACCGGCCCACGGAGCGAACTTGTGGCTTTCGTGCTGCGTCAAACCGCGAAAATGGTTGATCCTTCATTTTGTTTTGGCTTAGATTTTTTGCCCCAGTGGAAAGGTGGCCCAGGCACTGCCTCCCTTCAGGCTCCCCGTCGGGTTTTGACCGTAGGTTGCACATGACATAACCTGTTCATCCCCCGTTCATTTTGGAATCCTTGATGCTTTGCATCGTTGTATGGGCACAAAGTTTACCCATGTTTAGGACATACCGTCCGAACCGTCTGAGACATGCAGCGCATGCCTTTGTTGTCTCAGGGCCATGATGTGGTAAGGAATTTGCAGCGGTGTGCTTTCATGTGATGGTCTCAAGCTGGCTGTGAGGTTGTGTAGAGCTTCCCAGACTATGCTGCACGTACAGGATCTCAAAGCATGATCGGCGAACTCTGTCATTTGCTTTGCAGGCCTAGTCCCACTATTCTCCATCAAGCTGTGCCGAGATAGGGCCTGAATGTATGCACCAGACAACAAGCCCTTGGAGCAAGTAGTTGGTCAACGTAGCAGTTCATGTAGCACTCGGCCGGCATCCGCTGCTGCCGCCTGCTGCTGCGATGGTCATGAAGGTGCGGGCAGTGCTTCTGCTCTTGTGCACATCCTTGAGTCTTTTGGAGAGAGGGGCCAGGAGAGACGTGCAGCGGGGTTATCCTAGCTGGGAGTCGTGTAATGACGGCTTGCAGAACTAGACGTACTGCTAGGCTTCAATATGGGCAGGGATTGTGGTTTCTGCCAAGAAACCAGGCTCTGCCCCACATCGTCTGATCCTAGGATCGTCGGCTGCCGCCTTCACTTTTCAATATCCTCACAGAAACAAAATGCTATGCTGTTGCTAGTAACCTGTCATCAGTTTCCCTGAATGAGCCTCATGCCACCTTAGTCTAGCCTGCTTCCGAGTGAAACGAAAGTTGCGTTGAGGCTTTCTCAAGTTCCCAGAATGCCTACGCCACATGTTTCGGCCTATGGATGCTCCCTCAAAGCTTCATTGGTTGGGTGGCACCTGGTCAGATGCCAACCTCACGGCGAAAAGAGTCAGCAGCTGGCACCTGAGAGGTGGGGTTTGGTTGTTTCACCCGGCATCGCGACGGCCGATTCGATCTTATTAGGGACGACGCATGTCATCGTGTTGGAGCATGCGGTGGCTTGGCATGTTCCGGGGAGCTTATCGCGTTTCTACATAAACATGTACTCGGGAGGCTCTTGGATCACGGGAGTGACAGTCAAAAGGACAGGCCTCTTTCAAGTGTCTGCATTCACTATTGTCGCGTTGAGTTCGATATCCTTTGCAAGGGCACTCGCCCGTCCGTCGTTGCGCTCGCTGAATTCAGGAACATCCGCATGTTCGGGTCTGCATGGGTCCATTTGCGAAGCACCACCTTGCAGTTTACGCTTCCATGGCCTGCCTGGCACACTCCGAACCTGAACCACGAGGCCGTACCTGCAGCCTACATAGGACCCAAAATGCAACCAAACCTCCTGCTGAAGCTGAAATTGAAAGCAGGCTGTGCCTGAATTTAGACCCTCCCGAATCTTGCACGGTGCAGTACTGCGCTACTACAAAGGCCTCGTCGTCCTCTTCGACGTTGACGCGCCGATGGAGCGTGCGACTGAATTTTCAAGTGGGTTCGGTCACAGAACAGGGTATTGTGCGAACTCTTGAGTTCCGAACTGGCACATCTGGCATGATTTTCTTGCTCTAAACGCTGAAAACCTAGACCCTCAACCCGAAGCCCCTGAAATCCTAAAGCCCAAGCCCCTCGCCCCCAAACCCCAAGCCTGAGACCCTAAATCCCTAAATCCGCACAGCTTGACCACTGAGCTCCAGTCCAAGCTCCAAAATGTGGGCAAAAACCATCCCCAAAAGCCCCAAGAGCTCGAGGCAAAGGCCGCAACGACTGCGGTCAGGTCGATGCCGGCGTCCAGCGCCTGGAGGCATAGTACGCTCGCCACAATGCGTTTAGACATGAGTCCATATAGCAGCGCCCTGTTGCGCCATACATATGTTTAAGCATGGGATGTAAATACAAACAAGCATATATATATATACACACACACACACGCACACACACATATGCAGATAGAAGTTTGACTGCAGGCATGACATCCTGTCATATAGTCATATAAAGCCTTTACATGAATGTATACATATATATACTCTCTCTCTCTCTCTCTCTCTCTCACTCACCCACACAGATGTACGCGTGTAAGCCGACAAGAACTCATCGAGCAGAAGGCCCTCGGCCTCGCTGGCGCTCCCGGGCTGCCTCTGCCGCCGCCGCCGGGCCTGGAAAGGCGAAGAGGGCTGGGAGCGCACCGCGAGCCCATAGCTTCCCCGTGTATACTAATATAGGGCAGAAGTACGTGCGCGGATGTATGGATGCATGTGGATATGTGGGCAAACCATCAAAGGCCTCAAACTGGTGAAGCCATGGCTTTTCCTTGGGGTAGTGTCAGGGAGAGGCTTGATCCATTGGAGGCTGGGAAGTCCCAGCCACAAAATGGCTAAAGTCCCAGGCCGAACCCGAAACTGATGAAGTGCCCTGGCATTTCACTACCTAAAGCTACAAGTCTTATGCCCTACACCCTGAGCCCTGCTCTCCTCTCGCGCCCCAGAACTCGTGGAAGGCCCTGGGACTTCGAAGGCTACTTCGGGCCCCCACCAGGCCTGAGCTTAGGCTTCGTTCCGGAGCTCAGCCCGGGCCCCGAAAGTTTCGGGTTTAGGGAAGGGCCCGAAAGGCTCAACTCGGAGCTCCTTGGGTCCTCAGTTTGGGTTCAGGCCCAAGGTGGAGAAGGTGAGAGGGCAAGGCGACAGGCCACTAAGGGCTACTGTAGGGACATTGTAGGGTTCTTTGCAGTTCTTGTTGTTACAGGGGTTCTTACTGTTCAATGTCAGTTGTTTCTTCTTGCAGCCTATCAATGTGTTGAATGCCTCAAGCTGCCTTGAATGCAGAGTCGCACCATCACTTTAATCAGTTTGTGAATCACAGCCCCTCAAAATTGAAGTCAAAGAATTATTTGCTAATGCTAGAGTGTAACCAGAGTTGGAAGCCGACCTATGCCTCAACAGTCATGACTGATGATGATACTATCAAAATTAGAGCCCCCCAAAACACACTTAAAAAAAAAAACAACATAATGCATAGTATTGAATGGTTCATCGAATCCTGAATGCAACTGAATCCCCACAAAAGCTGGGCCGGAGCTGCAGTCTAGGTGACTTTGAGGAAAGGCCGCAGGGCGACTTCGACGACCAGCGAGGCACGCAGTGACATGTCGGCCACACGATAGGGGGGGTCTCGGGAAAGGAGGCACCACAATGTTAAATTTTTTTCGAGGTGCCCTTGAGGTTGCCACCCCACCCCCCCCGCGCGCCTCGGGAGGGGACTTACTGCTCCATGCTCCCCGTCCGATGCTGTGCGACTTTTCGAGCTGGTTTTGGGATGCAGGTTTGGGCTCGTGTTGAAGGGCTCTTCCCTACTGGGATATCCGGCAATAGTAGAAGAGACGCACGACGTCGCTTTGTTGGCGTGCTTTGACTTGATCTCTAGTTGGGTTTAAGTGGTTCGTCGTCTCTGATCAGTCGGCATGGCGAACGTGTGGGTTGCTGTCCGGAGGTTTCAAGCTTTCTCTAGATCAAGCTTAACTCTGCAGCCTTCACCCTACCACTCCAAATGCCCAAAATGCTCGCATCATATTTCAGCGAACCCCCCCCCCCCCACCCCCCGCCGAAAACTCCACTTCCTGACACCCTAAGCCCTGCATTCTACACGCCAAAAGCCTCGACCTGACATCCGACCCCTGCGCCGGAAGATGCCACGCCTGCAAACCCTCAACCCTGAACCTAGAAAACACTTTCCAGTCAAGCATATTATAGCATCTTACTGTGTTTCAGTATCTTATAGTATACCGCTGTGTTTCAGCATCTTAAACCCTACGCCTTAAATCCTAAAACCCTTTAACAGTATAGTATACAAGGGTTCTAGGTACCTGATATAACTTTATTTCTTACTCTTGGCTCCCCTTCGAGGCTCGCAACCTGGACTTCCGGACCTTTGGACGGTCCTCCGGCGGGAGGGCTTCCT